TCGCTCGCATGGTTGATGCTGAACCTGATTTTTGGAAGCAAATTGGGGGACTGAAAATCCACATGAGATCCACGAAATGCCGTTGCATGACCGGAAAGTGACTGTTTGGGCCGGCATTTGCGCCAAAACCATCATTGGGCCATTTTTCAACGAAAACGAAACAGTCGATGGAAATCGATATCGGTGGATGTTGGCTCATTATGTCTGTCCACAAATGAGTGAAAAAGGTCTTGATGGTTACTGGTTTCAAAAAGACGGTGCGCCATGCCACACTGCAAATGAAACAACCCAGTTTCTGCAACAAAAATTCCCTGGACGTCTGATGTCAAAAAGAGGTGACATTGACTGGCCACCCAGGTCTCCAGATTTGACCCCATCGGACTTCTTCTTGTGGGGTTACTTGAAAAGTCAAGTGTACGCCAGCAAGCCCCAGACCACTGAAGAACTCAAGGCAAAAATTCGAACCGCAAGCGCCGCTATACCACCAAAGATGCTCGAAAAGTAATGGAAAACGCAGCAAAACGGGCACATTCTGTTTTGGCCAATAAAGGTGGTCACTTGATAGATGTTGTGTACAAAAACTAGTCCCAATAAATTGTAAAGGACTATATTTAATAAAAATACACCCGATATATAGAAATCAGTTTTTCGTTTTCAAAGTTATTTCATGTTTACATACCGATATAAAAGATGGCGCACCCGCATCAATGAGTTGACTTGTTTTAATCTTGTTGGTAATGAGAGCTTCCCATTTTAAATGATGTGCTATTATAACTCCTAGATCTTTCTCGCACTGAACATTTTCAATTTCTACCTGCCCTAGTTGATGATTTGTCTCCACAATATGAACTATCCTTCAGTTTTCTGTATTGAATGATATTTGCGATTTCTTAGACCACTCCTCGATGGCGAATATATGTCTTTTTTAGTTTTGACCTCCTGTAATGCAGTGTTTCCGAAAAGTTTGCTATCATCTGCATAGAATGAAATCTTCTTACGGAAAACAAAATACCTCAAAATTCAAAGTCGCATCTTACAAAATAACGGAGGACGTGCATGACAAACTGGGCCAGATACATTTTTCTAAATACCCATAATACGTACGACAGGGGTCATTTGAACCTTATTTAAGCTATTTTAATTTTCAGTAAGCCTGCGTTACATTACACTGTGTTACAAATGAATCAGACAGGAACGTAAGCCCAACCGTGCATATCGTCCCCCAAAACACGAAGTGTCGTATCTGACATCTTTTGAAAATTTGAGTTACGCCAGGTATGAGCAATATAAAGCTGTCACTTCCTACTCACAAAGTGTTGTATCCGAATTCTCAACCATCGACGAGTAATTTTAATATTTAGTTTCAACGTATGTATCTGCCTTAGCGCATTCAAAGAAAGTCACAAACCGTCGTATCTAAGTTTATTTGCAGATACGGCAGTTCGTGATATTCTGGTCTCCTAATCCTTCTACAGCGATGCTGTCGTATCTTCGGGGAATCACGTGGCGGACGCGAATATAACCTCAAAAACGAATCAAAAGTTGTGTGCATCGATTCTTATCAGCATAACTACTTAGTAAATCAAATCAAACCTAATCTTCTGTTGGCGACACCATTGAAAATAAAGGTAGGAAATAAAAAGTATCCACTAATATGATATTTAAATAGTGAAATAGCTAATATAGCTTTATAAGTATGATTTAGAGAATTATTGGATTTAAAAAATTAACAGTTTGTTAGTCACTACAGAAATATACTATATAGTATCATCCCGTCATAAAAAATTAGCTATATATACCTACTCATAAAGCTTATTTTTCATTTCTTAATAATCATCTGAATTTATTTGTTCCACTGCTAGTTTTTCTACAAGTGAAATAAGGTTTTCGGTTTCAGAGTAATGGATGTACTGGTGAAGTGGAAGGATGGATCACTAAATGTGGTTTACTCCAATGACCTAAAAGTAGAAGGGCCTATAGCTATTGGCAGTTCCGTGAGAATGTTGTACTGCGGGAAATGGTATTCTGGTACTATAATGGAAGTGCAAGAAGACGATATTAGTTCTGATGACTCTGACAACATCCCTCTTAGTGAAATTGCTAAACTTAAATCGGATGATCTATATTCCGCTAAAGGGAAAGTGAAAGAATCCAAAAATGACAACATTCCGCCAAGCATCCTAGCTCCATCACTGAAAACAAATCTTCCGGACGACAATAATAATGCTCAATATGCTGATGATTCACCTATATCATCGCCTGAATGTTATGACTCAGATAAGGATCCACCATTTGGAATTTGTGAAGCTAGAGGATGTAAAGCAGAGGTATTCAGTTCATGTAATGTTTGCAGTATTCTTTTGTGTTGGGAGCATTTCATGGCAGACGCTGACGGGTGCTTACGTTTAGGTCATGGCACGAAATCTGATCATGTAACAGCTGAAGAAAGCAGTCGCGATCAAGACAATATTAGTTTAATAAAAGCAGCTTGTCCTGAAGACTTTTGGGTCGAAGGAAATGAAAAAGAAAATCATGAAAGGAAAGCTAAAAAAACTAACAAACAAAAAGACGCAAAAAAGTTGAGAGATAGTGGGCAGACGTACTTTAGTCTGTTCAAAAAAAAGTATGTTCCTGCTAGGACTATGAAGCAGCGATGTATGTCAAAACGATGTTCAAAGGTTGGAAGAAAATGTCCAGAAATAGATGACCAACAAAGAAAACAACTATTTAGTGAGTATTACAATTTGGCTGATCTTACCAGGCAACGAAACTTTTTACTTCATCACGTAACTAAGGAGAAAGTCAATCGAAAAACAGTCACGACAAAATCACGGAGAACCTGTACTTTAAGGTATTTTTTCACAGTTGGAAATGATCGTCTACCTGTCTGTAAAACCTTTTTTTTAAACACTTTGGGAATTTCTGAAAGACTAGTTCAAACAGTGCATAATAGAATATATGAGATGGGTATATTAGAGAAAGAAAACCGAGGCGGTCGTCAGAGATGCCAGGAGATTTTAGAAAAAGAACAAGAAATGCGAAACAAGATAAGTGACCACATTGTTAGATATCCAAGAATGGAATCGCATTATTGCAGAAGCAAGACTTCGCGTGAGTATCTACATCCAGATTTGACATTGCAAAGGATGTATGATATGTTCATTGAAGAGCTGAGCCAGCAGAGTATCGAAAGAAAACCTTGTATCACGATGTATAGGAAAATTTTCAAATCCAAAAATTTGTCTTTCTATCATCCAAAGAAAGACCAGTGTTCGTTGTGTCTTTCGTTTAGAGATGGAGATGAAACAGCGAAACAAAAATTGAAAGAGGATTTTGAAAAGCATATTAAAGAGAAAACTAAGGTTAGAGAATTGAAGAGACTGTTTAAAGAAGTAGCGATGGCTGACAATACAGTTTTATGTGGTGTGTTTGATCTTCAACAGGTCATTTACCTACCAATCAGTAAGGAAAATGCAATTTTTTATAAAAGTAGATTATCGAACTTCAACTTCACTTTTTATGATTTAGCTAGTAAAGATTGTTATTGCTTTGTGTGGCATGAAGCAGCTGGTAAGAGAGGATCCTCAGAGATAGCGACCTGCCTTTTTAAAATTTTAGAGGAATATTCTAGGCAGGATAAGACAAAAGTTGTTTTATTTTCTGATGGGTGCTATAGTCAAAATAAGAACACTATAGTTGTCGCTATGCTCCTGTATGCCTTGAGTACCCTTCCATCGTTGATGGAAATAACTTTAAGATTCTTTGTTACAAATCATGGACAAAATGAAGGGGATTCTGCCCATAGAAGTATTTCTCATGCAATTTTAAAAGCAGGGGATATCTTTGAACCGACTCAGCTACTACCGATTATCAATTTGGCAAGACGGAAACATCCGTATAAAGTATATCCCCTAACTTTTAGAGACTTCATGGATTTCAAAACTTTATCAAAGAATTTGAGGATTTTATCCCTACGTACTACAGCTTCAGGAAGAACAATTAACTGGACAGACATCATGGAAGTTAAAGTTGGTAAGCTACACCAAGATAAAATATTTTTCAAGACGAGCCATTTAACAGAAGATTATGATTTCATTCAATTAAAAAGAGGCGCAGCAAATACTGAAATGTCAGTTAGACCACTATACGCCTCATCAATAAATATTTCTAATAAGAAATATAATGACCTCCTTGCGTTATGTAATGGAAAAAATCCAGTGATAAGACTACCGGAGATAAAGAAATTTTATGAAGACTTACCTCACGATAAGGCTTAGGTTTAGTTTTTTTAAATAGATTTTGAGAATTTTTGTATATTTTTTGCTTATTAGTGTCTTACCTTTGTCAATAAAAATTATTAACAAGAACTTTTCTCTCTTACTTCCTCTGATTATAAACCATCATGCATGCATCTTGTTCGTCGTATCTTCCGTTACATAATTAAAGAATTATTTTTGGCAACACGAAATGACTTATCTGACTTATCAATTTTTTTTCTCAAAACTTATTCAGCATACAAACATTTTGCTAGCTGCAGTTGAAAACTAGTGGATTTGAGTATGGGCTCAAAAAGTTTTGTGAAACACTTTTTATTGTATGACATACAGCTTCTAAAAGAGACCCCTTTTTCTTGTTTTCTCTCTCCTGTAAAATTATGGAAATGTCAGTTACGACACTTCGTGTTTTGGGGGACGATATGATCCGAATCGCGGGACCTTTTAATCCGTCAAAGTCCCGTTCTCGAAATCTTGGTAGCATTCTACGTATTATAACATGTATACGTATCATTAAATTTTTCAAAAATCCTTGCGCATATACGATCCGGATGGAAATTCGTTTCCTGGGTAAACTGGGTACGTAGTTGCCAAAATTTGGTGCCGAAATCAAAAGCTGGCCCCAAACAGCTATTTTTTACTCCCCACAATTCTTTTTTATCAATGAATGTAAAAAGAGAAAATTACATATCTTCAAAATTCCAAATTTGAAGTCATAGCATATACCTGAGCTAAAACGCAACCTTCCCCTCTAACTGCAATATTCACATCAGTTGACTCATCATGGACAGATATAGCTTTGGATTTCAAGGGATCGTTGCTCTGCAATGTAAAGTTTTGCTTGTGTCTTCCAGCTTCAACGTGAACATTTATATGCAGACTTCTTGATTTTACTATTTTTGCAAATCTAGAAAGAGCGTCCAATGCAACTACAGTGTCCTAAAAAACAATACAAAAATTCCATAACGCACTATATACTGTGTTTTTCAGTAGCCTATATTGTTTGATTCTTTGGTGCTGATTAAAAAAATTGAAAGCAAAAAGACTCAATGCAGATGCTGCATATGTCGAATAAACGTTTGCAAAAAATCATGTAGGTTATCATCCACGATTAATAAATTAATATCCCATTTAAAAATACCTGTGTAGATTTGAAACCACCTTTTGGTCCAAATTTCGCTGTCAACCATCTTACTACAGATTGTGCATAAGCTAAATTTTCTGTACTGCTCTCATGAAGTAGAGACAGCAATACGTAGCTTGTTATTTCTATATCAGTTGCTGTAGAATTATCTAAAAAAATAAGCATTTCCTGAATGTAACTTCTAAAACCACATGTGACTTTACTGACGGTTCGGATGCTAGATCAGCCTATACCTTTATTAGTCCACCATAGTAGATTCTCCTGTTGTTCTGAGACCGCAATAAGTCGTTTCAGAAACCTATTTGCCTCAGTGTTCCAATTCAGTTTGAACAGTGCATAGCAAATAATGGCAAGATAGTACTTGTCTGGGTTGTGCTGACTTCGAATACAGTATTTGATGTTTGTTTGAACTTGCTTTGGAACATCTATATTTGCTTCTAGTAAACTCAAAATCACGTAGGCTGTTAGAGTTGCCGTACTATTTTCTTTGCTGGTACCTCCCTACAAGTTAATAAGCAACATAAAAGTTAAACACTTTTAAAAAATAATTTTTTTCTAGTGTCACTGTTCTTAAGGCGGCTCCGACGCAGTGAGTTTCAGGCCATTTACAAGGGATTAGCTGCTTCGGATTTGACGCTCCGTTTTTCTATATATTTGAATAAAATTTATACAGTATGTTCAGAAGACAATTGTCCAGGGTGCTATAGAGCCACTTTTCTAAAAAAAAATTTTTTTTCAGGAGTTATGGTGCGTTGAAGTGCAGATAATTGTTGTTCGACTTCTCGATTTGTTTAAAAATAACCCAGAGGAAAAAACGAAAAAGTGGCTCTATAGCACCCTGTGGAGTCTTGTTTTTAGTGCACTGTGAAAATTTCATTGAAAAATATTCAAAAATGAAGCGTCAATTTTGAAGCGCGAAAACCTCTGCAAATAGGCTTTTACACGAATGTTATCCACTATCTCGTGCTGCCAGTCGAAGCAACGCGGCGGTGTGTACGGACTAAGAAAGGACGTATTCAGATAATTTGTTGTCCCAAGTTAAACAGTACCAGTTTTGACGTCTGTCGTTCGAGATAAACATCGGACCAGTAAGTGACATTTTTAATAGACTTCAATGAAAGAGGGGAAATTTTTAATCGATTTTGATCATTTCTTTTTATACAATAGGCCATGCTTCCGAGGTGATACCACAAAAAATCATTTTTGTTCAATCACCCCAATATGGATATCATATGGAAGCACTTGTACAAAACAGTAATACGAAAACAGTTTCAAATCAAGATGACGGCCGTCATAAAATGGCGGATAACATACTTGCTAATATCTCAAATAAGAGTCGTCGCCTTGTAGAATACTTCACTAAAAATTTGATTCCAAGATTGCCGCAGTTTCGAAATTGCGAGTTACATATTTTTGTACAAAACCCCCAATTTACATATCAAATGAAAAGACTTGACATGTGTGGTAAAATACAGAACTTTGTGACCAAAAGTTTCCAGGTGGTTCCAGGGTCATTGGAGGCGGTAATCTTTTTAGTTAAAAATAATAATTATAGTGAACGCATTTAACATAAATAAAATGTCACCTGCTGTTTAGCTTTAACCTTATGAAGTATCGTCAAATAAACTTAACACGATAAGCGTCATGAGATATAATGCGTGTGTCGCACCTCATTTGGCGCTTTGGGCCTCGTGACACACATGATATGTCCCACTGCTGGCAGTTATATTTGGCCGCGTAACGTAAGACGTGTGCCATGCTGATGTGATTTTCTTACGGGAACCAAGAGTCCGTGGCCTGAGGGACCAAATTATACTGAATTGGAAATGAAAACATTAAAAAACACGTTGTTTATAGAGTTTTACAAAAAGAGGATATTCTACAAATCTAAAACAAAAAGCAAATCTTATAAAATAATCAGACATTCTCATTCAAAAATGAACAAAGTAATTTCACATCAAATCAGTAAGTTATGGTAAATGTCGATATTCTAACGAACACAAATATGGAGGAACTCTTATAAACTAAACAGATTGACAAAGTCTTATGCAGGAATAAACAAAATACTGGTATAAATAAACAGTAATACAGATAAATATGGAATTACTACAACTACTATCTGATTCACTACCACTTGGAGAATACGCATCAGATAAGTATACATCCCCACATAACTCAGTACTGCCACTCTCTTCATCCTATAGTATTTCATTACACAATTGTTCAGGCCTTTTTTGCTCCGCTTCGTAATGCGACATCACTAAATTTGGTTAGTTTATAAACAGTAAAGCAATTTGGACAAGATGACGTACAATACCAACAACGCTTCAATAATAAATGACACGAAACAGTGCACAACGCGCTACAGGATGCAAGTCTTGAATTGCAAAAAACGCGACGCGACTTATGTGCCACGCGACCCGACTGGTTTGTGGGCCACGCGACATACAACTAGTGCCTCAGAAAAAAAAATCAAAAAAGGGGAAAAATCATAGGATTTGAGAAAAAAGTCAAGTCAAAATATTAAACCGAAACTTAAAACAAGCTAATTTGACAATAATAACAGTTTGGCCCAGTGGACTGGATTTTCAGATTCTACTGTGGCGCTTAACGTGTCAATGTGACATTTCAATATTCGCCATCTAACAGACTAGATAAAGCTAGCCGATGCCACGTGCTATTGAGCCTGACGATTGACTTTTATTTAAATAAACAATATATACATAATATACAATAAATAGTGAACATCTGGTACTAGTACCGAAGTGGAAGAGATTAGCATAACATCTCGCACATCGCTGCTAAAGCGAGATCTGCACACCGCATTTGCCGACACGAAGGGGTTAGTAACGGCGTACAATGTAATATGCTAATCTCTTCCATTTTGGTACCCGAGTACAGCAAAAATAGCCAATTCTCAAAAACTCTTTTTCTTGTTCAAACGGTTCTCTTGTGCCTTCAAGATCACACCGGGATCGCGGATTGGCATATTTCTGCTTTTCCTGGGATCGACCAGTTCTGGGAGCAAGCAGTTCATGTAGAAGAATTTCAATTTCTCTTCCATTTCATTTTTCCAGAAAACGTCATCCTTTTGAATGACGTCTATTTTCAAACCATACTGGGTCCAAACACCAAGCACACAGTACTCTCTTTGTGCAACGTGTAGCTGCCCTTGAATTTGGTAATACCACTTATATTTTTTATTTATTTCATCGTTTATCCAAAACGTATTTTTTTTGTTCAGAATGCCCTCTTCAGGGGTCATTTCTCTAGCCGACCATGGACATTTAATTTCTAGCAGACCTTTTTCGCCTATCAAACCATCTGGCGATGCTGCCAGAAATGGATGGGTCCTATCAATAAACAACCCGCAAGATGATACTTCTGATTGCGAATATGATTTCTCTATTTCTGCGTTTGCCACGCTTTCATGCTTTTTTCCATAGTCACATGCATTGCTAAAGAATTCGGTTGGGTATATTATGGCGTTTACTAGAGCTCTGCAACTTGTTGTATCTCTTCTTCTACAAACCTCACCAAACCGAGACGCAGTCAACCTCATTCTTCGATGAAGACGCCACAAATTGCAATCCTGAGATTTTGTGGCTTGCTCGATCTGGGAAATTTCGGAGTCGGTTTTTGCAAGTTTTTTCAAGAATTCTACCTTGGCAGCCTCTATATCTTCATCGCTCATGTCAGGCTTCTCACAGAATTCCCCATAGGATGCGTTCTCTTTAGTATCACTATCTCTGATTTTAATTTTCCTTGGTTTCAGCTTCCTTTTGAGATTTTTGTGCGCTCTCCTTTCTTCAACTTTAGCAATCAAAGAGGTTGGACTGAAACTAGGGAGTAGCCGCTTTTGGATCACACAAACAGGCCGCTGTGTATTGTGGCTCACTACGGCTGCAGCACATCTTCCTTGGTAGGATCTCTTCTTGCAATAATTATTTCGTTTACGCCCAATGAATTTTGCTATGATTGAATTAAACTGCTCTACAATATTATTATCGACGTCATGAAGTAAACTTACTGCATTTTTAATCAGAATTGCCAGAAATGATATCAGCCTCTGGTGCAAATCTAAAAAAAAAAGGGTATACACACCTGAATTTGAAGATCCATGCCATCTGTCTCTGTTAGAGAATGCATATGCGAAACCTTGCTGTCATTTTTAAGCTAAAATAACATATAAAATATAGCTATAATAGTAACTACGTATAGTCTAATTTATTGGCAAAATGAATGCTAAAATTTATAATTGTTTTGGTACCTACCTTTCTATCTGGAAAACGTTTTTTTTTCCTGTGCGTATTTAAATGCGGCTTCTTCGAGACGCCACGTTTATTTCTCTTATTGTTCATTTTTGATACCTTGGTAAGAAAGACACTCAACAATAACAACACAACAATAACAACACGATAATACAACAATACAATAACGGTAATAAGAGTAATAAGGGCTGGGTATACTATGCGCCAAAATAGGGAAACAGTCGTACGCTAGACCGTATATCCAAATCAAATCCGACTCCGATTGCAATATGCAAATTCAACCAGGCACGCGAACAGGACACCTCTGCGTATTACTATCCTTTTCTAACGTAGAGCGCTTGCCTTGTCACAACGCCGTCCTACTAGCGTTCCCCTATCACCCCCCCGATCCCCCTCAGAAACTGCTTGACTGTGAGAGCGCCGTTAACCCCGAGCGCTGGAAGATTCAGAGAATTTTCATGTAGGTGTAATATTAACATTGTAAAATGTCTATCCGCATGCGTCGATCGATCCGCACGGGTATCATGTAAAAAACCTATAAAACGTCAAAAAAAACCTATAAGATGTCAACTTGCAGACTACGTATGTAGTTTTTAGGGCGCAAACAGTCATTCCACGTTTGCTCACTAGGATCGTTGTGAACGTCCATCTATGGAGGAATCACTCAACTAAACTACGCATTATTGGTTGCATAGTTTTGTGAGTCTGAGTGATCCGGGTCTGTAGTTTTTATCTCTGAGAAGAAAGTTGGATGAATAGCAAGATCACATCTGGATGATATTTGCTGTTAGAAAATCATTATTGAATATGACGGGTTATTTATATGTTGTGCTTTCTGAAGGGAGGTTATGTTCAAAGTTATAAATTACGAAAAACTGCGGAGAATTACGGGAAATCATCTCCGCGCCCGCGTTGTGTGTAATTACTGTTAGCATGTATATGGCTTGTATTCGACAGTGTACAGTGAATATAATTATTTCTTATCTCTCTCATTTGTGAAATTCAGCAAATTTGTATATGTAATTTACAAAATGGATAAGAAAAAGTGAATGCGCAACTAATACCGCGGTGATTCTAGCAACAACGGCCAGCCAGCAACAAACGATAGTCCCTCATCTCACCAGCGGCCGCGTCGCGCTGGACACCATCGCGCGTCACAATCAAATCAACACCAGTTTTTGTTTTCACGAAAATCAATGCTACAATGCATCCTCCATATCCGGAATCGAT